ATGAGTAGGAGGGCGCGGCGGTTGCTGCAAAACCTCGGGCGTGAGTCTGGGTGGAGCGGCCGTCGGTGCAGATCTTGGTGGTAGTAGCAAATATTCAAATGAGAACTTTGAAGGTTGAAGAGGGGAAAGGTTCCATGTGAACGGCACTTGCACATGGGTTAGTCGATCCTAAGGGTCGGGGAAACCCTGACAGACAGCGCGTTTGGCGCGTGCACCGAAAGGGAATCGGGTTAAAATTCCTGAACCGGGATGTGGCGGTTGACGGCAACGTTAGGGATTCCGGAGATGTCGGCGGGGGCCCAGGGAAGAGTTATCTTTTCTGTTTAACAACCTGCCCACCCTGGAAACGGCTTAGCAGGAGGTAGGGTCCAGCGGTTGGAAGAGCATCGCACGTCGCGTGGTGTCCAGTGCGCCCCCAGCGGCCCTTGAAAATCTGGAGGACCGAGTGCCGTCCACGCCCGGTCGTACTCAGTACCGCATCAGGTCTCCAAGGTGAACAGCCTCTGGCCAATGGAACAATGTAGGCAAGGGAAGTCGGCAAAATGGATCCGTAACTTCGGGAAAAGGATTGGCTCTGAGGGTTGGCCTTTGAAATGCCGGTTGTTGGGATGCCGGCATTTCGAACGGGGATGGTTGGCTCTTTCGTCCTTGCTGAGCCGACTCTTGGATGGTTGGATTTCGGTTAGCCAAATTTCTTTAATTTGGCTCGGTGTGCCGATGTTAGGTGTGTTGGTCGTGCTCTAGCTCCTTCCCATCCAGCGTTTGGTTCTTCCATTACACCCACCCAGGTGGAAGGACAAGTTGCCAGGGGCTATGGCAGTCGGTTTTATGGTGGCTCTAAGTGGGTGGGACGGTTTGCTACGGTTTTGTTCGATCTTGCATGGCACTATTCGATGCGACTGTCGTGGGCACCAGCCATTCGCTGGTGGGCTGACTGCCGAGTTAAAAACTTGGCCTTTGGTCTGTTGGTGGGTTGTGCGGTGTGTATGAAGTTTGCGATGCGTAATTGTGTGTGAGATGTATTTGGTTTTCATGGTTAGGTTTGATCCTTGTTGTAGCAGTGAAAACTTGCCGTGAAATCCTTTTCAATATGGTGGGCTACGCCTTTGTTTGCAATGGTTCCTCTTTTTTGTACCCTCTTTGTGGCATCCTTACATTCCCGCTCTTTTCTATTTGTTTTTTGTGGTTTGCAAAGCAAAATGCCATTAAACAAGTTCATATAGCTTTTGTATCTGGACTCAAACTGTGGTGGCATGACTTTTGTTTTTCACATGTGGTTTTGAAGTGTGGGCTTTCTGAGAACCACTGCTTTTACCGTTTTGGCTATTGCTTTTTCGTCCCCCCAAATGTTTGTTAGAGTGTTTTGCATATCATTATGACCTAAGAATGATGTTTGGTTATCGGTTGTGATGGGGAATTGGCTTTGTGTTCGAATTTGGGGCCTGTTTGGTCAGTGTGACTCTACAGCAAAATCGTATCTACTGCTGTAACTTGGGTTTATGTTTTTTAAGCATATATAGGGGGGGTATGGTCCGTGAAGGTTTTTTCGGTTGGTTTTAAAAGGCTTGGTTTTTGCCCTTGCTAGGCCCTGCGTTAGCTCACTCCCTCCCTTGGCGCCTCGTTCGGCTAGTGTCCCACCCACTAGCATCAAGAATGTACGCCAGAGCTAACACAGTTTGAGTTGGCGGTGGGAATCGGTGTTGGGCATCGGTCTGTTGGGCCCTGAAATGCTGGTTGTTGGGATGCCGGCATTTCAAGCGTGGACGATTGGGATGTCCATGTGGGGCTGACTCTCCGAGGTTGGATTCGGTTAGCCAAGTTTCCTCAATTTGGCTCGGTGTGCCGATGTTAGGTGTGTCGGCCCTGCATTAGCTCCTTCCCTTCCGGCGGTTTGTTCTTCCATTACACCCACCCAGGTGGAAGGACCAGGCGTCGGGGGCTAATGTAGTCGGTTTTATGGTGGCTCTAAGTGGGTGGGACGGTTGGCTACGGTTTTGTTGGCCTTTGAAATGCCGGTTGTTGGGATGCCGGCATTTCGAACAGGGATGGTTGGCTTTTTCGTCCTTGTGAGTCAACTCTCGGATGGTTGGATTTCGGTTAGCCAAGTTTCCTTAATTTGGC